ATTTTAATTAATAAAATATTTAATATTTAATAAATTAAAATTAATTTACTAATAAATATTTTTAAATATCATAATTAATTATTTAAAAATTATAAATTAATAAAATTACAAATAAAATTAATAATATATTAATAATATTAACAAAAAGACTGATGATCATAATCTCAGCCCATGAGATGAGATGTAACAATGCTCTGGTCCTCTTTTTTCTTTTCACAAAAAGGTTCACATGTTGTACAGTAAAAATTCAGTCTTTCTGAAATTACATCAAATGGGGTCCTTGAAAGTGTATTTGTCTACCGGACATTAAACATATAATATTTTTTAGTAGAAGAAAACATGTGATATTTTTGAAATTAAATCAAATGGGGTCCTCGAAAACACTATGATTTTGTTTTCATTTATAGTTCTAGCATTTTCTTCAAAAGATTTGGAGATCAAAGTGACAAAATTAATCCGAATTTTAGATAAAAACACAAAACGGAAATTATATAGGTTACAATATTAAAAAACATTGTAAATTTATAAATATCATTGTATAATTGATTTTTTTATTTGAAAATTTACTTATGTTATTATATATATATATTTATTTAATGATACGTTAAAATTATAAATTTATAATCTTATATAATATTATAATTATATTATTGCCATATAAAAAAATATTTATATAGTTTCATACAAATGGAAATGTTTTATTTCTACAAGAGCCATCCAAAAATTTCCAAATCAAATTCCTCTCAAGGTTTGGTAAGATAGATTTTGTAACATATTTTAATGGATTTTAGTTATATTTCGCAGAAGCTAATCAGGAGTGCAGTTGTAATCACAATGAAAGGAAAGAGCTACTATGGTCTATGGGAAAATTCAACTAATGCACATGCTGCGCCTATGCACTTTTTTGGATTTTGCTGCCTGAACCCTAAATTCTTCAGGGCCAGAATTACACGATTTTGTAGTATGTGGTATTAGAGTAAATGTTAAAAGTATTTTTTATATAAATATTTGTTAAAAATATTTTTTCTCATAAATATATATATATAAATTAAAGTTAATATTGATTTTAGTATATGTGCCAAGGTTATAAAGTTAATTAAATAATTAATAAATTAAATATTAATTTTTATTTTTTAATATAAATTTATAATATTATATTTTTAACTTCTATGCCAAGCATGTGCTTAAAAAAATCCACAATCACATTAGAACGTCCTTGAAAACTATATTTTATCTAACTGAAATGCTTTATTATGTGATTCAGATTTTATTCATGAATAACATGTATTGGTATTAAATTTCATTTCAAACATATGACATTTCTTCAATTAAAGTCATTCCGGAGCTTCTTCACTGTGACCCCAACTTGCAAGCAACTGTCATTTATTAGTAGGCACTGGAGATGGGTTGCTTGGATGGAGCTTGTAGCGGTTGTCATGTTACTCGAGTGCCAAAAATTCTCCATTTGTTGAATTTTATGTCAAAATAAATATTTTGCTTTCAAGTTTTAAGTTTATTTATCTCTTCCTTATTATGGGTTGATTTGGTCTTTCCCTCAGTTCTAGTTTTCCATTAGTCCTTCCTTGTCCACCTCCATGAACCAACATCTACAAAAAGCGCCAAACTTTTTCAAGTGATGATGGTTTCTATGCTCGAAATAGACACTTATATACAGCATCAAGGTACTTAAAAAAGCAACATTTTTCCTGTGTTCTCCCTGAATTTTTCTGATTCTGATACCAGAAATGGAAATGAAATTGCAGGAAAAGGACTCCCAGGTAATGTGTTGATGCATAGATTCTTTCTTTCAGTTTTCATGGTGGAAAATCAAGCAAATGCCAAGTTGAGGATGATATTCTGTTGAAAATGAAAAATGGGTAGCAGTTGAAGCAGTGAAAAGGTCAGGGGAAAAAGAGGGAAAAGAAGATTAAAGAAAGGAAAGTAGATATGCCAACAGTTTGGTTCTCTTTGAAGAAATCTCTTCACTGCAAATCAGAGCCATCAGATGTTCATGACCCAAAATCAAGGAAACATTTGGGCACAATCTTGACAAGGAAAACAGGGAGGTCAGGGTGTTCAAGGTCCATAGCAAATCTCAAGGATGTCATCCATGGAAGTAAGAGACATCTTGAAAAACCACCCAGCTGCAGTCCCAGATCTATAGGGAGCAGTGAGTTTCTCAACCCAATAACCCATGAAGTCATCCTGAGTAACTCTAGGTGTGAGCTCAAAATCACTGGTTTTGGTGGGTTCCAAGAAGGGGTTGGTCATGGTGGTGCTAATGGCGGTGGTGATGGTGGTTGTGCCGGCGGTGGCGGCTCAACCTTTGTTGGTACGTTAAGGCCGGGTACACCGGGGCCCGGAGGGCACCCAACAATGCACTATTTCAATCATTCTTTGAGAAACCCTTCAACTCCTCCTAGAAAGTCTGCTTTTCTTTCATCAGAAAGAGAAAGGTCTGTGTTCGGGGGTTCTGGTATCTTCGGCGGTGGCGGTGGCGGTGGCGGTGGTGGCGGCGGCGGCTATTCAAGCAGACGGGTTTCGCTTGAAACGGACTCCAATGGCTGTTCCATTGTTACTTGCCATAAATGCGGAGAGCAATTTAACAAATGGGAAGCCGCTGAAGCACATCATCTCTCAAAACATGCCGGTAAGCCATTTCCATGTTTCTTCTTCCTAAGGTTCCCCTGAAAAATGGATTTTCTTTCTGTTTGTACTTTGTAGTTGTTTTCCCTCCGTTGATTTCTTATCCCCTTAGCATCGAATCACCCATATTCTGCTGACTGCAAAAACCAGGGAGCACATCAGCAACTGAAGATTCTTTCTTTTACATTGGTTTTGTTGAGAAATGGGTAATCTTTTCTATGGGTTAGATACCTTTTTACTTTATGATTGCAAGCACCATGCAGAACCAAGTTTCAATGGGTTTTTTATTGGCCTTACAAGTTTCAATGGGTTAGGTACCTTTTCCTATCAATTTGTGCAGTTTTTCTCCCTTCAAATTGGTAAAAACTGTTCATCCATTTATTAAAATAAGAGCATAGGAGAAGTAAGAAATTGACAGGAGAAATGAGATCTAAATCTGAGTCCATTAATTGATGCTTTTAACATTTTCTGAGATTTTTGAAGGGGCTTTGTTCAGCAGCTGCTAAACATGCTCTTTAATTTTTGGGCAGTTACTGAACTTGTGGAAGGTGATTCATCTAGAAAGATTGTGGAAATTATATGCCGGACAAGTTGGTTGAAGTCTGAAAACCATTGTGGCCGGATTGATAGAGTTCTGAAAGTTCACAATATGCAGAAAACTCTTGCTCGATTCGAAGAATATAGGGAAATGGTAAAGAACAAAGCAAGCAAACTTCCCAAGAAGCATCCTCGATGCATTGCTGATGGGAATGAGCTATTGAGATTCTATGGCACAACTGTGGTGTGCTCTCTTGGCCTAAATGGTTCTTCTCTTTGTATATCAGAAAAATGTTGTGTCTGTCGAATTATCAGAAATGGATTCACTGCCAAGAAGGAACTCAAGGAGGGAATAGGCGTCTTTACAACTTCTACAAGTGGAAGAGCTTTTGAATCTATTGAAATTCTTGAAGAGGATCCGTCCATAAGGAAAGCCTTGATAGTTTGCAGAGTGATTGCTGGGAGGGTGCATAGACCTTTAGAGAATATACAAGAAATGGCTGGCCAAACAGGGTTTGATTCATTGGCCGGAAAAGTTGGTCTCTACTCAAATATTGAGGAGCTTTATCTGCTAAATCCTAGAGCTCTCCTGCCTTGTTTTGTGGTAATCTGCAAACCCTGAAGATAAAAAATAGAAAATGCTTTGGTTGTGTGAATCCTTTTCCCTCTCTTAATAGAGATTTCCTCTCTTATTTTTGGAAGAATTCTATTTCTTCTTTCAAGCTTCTTGTTACTTGCTAATATATTTGATTTGTGCACCTCACATTTGAATCATTCTTGCAACTGTATCTCTTCCTCATTTAAGGCTTGTATTGCTGACAAACATCTAAAATCTTTATATAGCACTCGCCCTCTTTCATTTTGTATGCTGCTCGAACCAAACTTTATTGCACCTCCCTTACATACGCAAGTAGTCCAAATTCAGAAATATTTGCCAACAATTACTTGAATGTTTAGCATTTTGATGTGGAAAAGGGAAGAGAATTACAACACCTCAATTGGTAATAATCTTGAACAATTTTCGGAAACTAAATAAATGGTGATATCAAAGTAGTCATGGTTCAAGCATGTGAATTTAAAGCACAAATAAAATTAAAATTACAACTCGCTTGCATACTTGAAAGAGTCATGAAGAGGATCTTCAATGGATATTAGTGGTTCAAGGACATGGAACTCCTTCAGCTTAATTTGTGTTTTCTAGTGTCTATACTTCTAAAACAATGAATTTTTAATGTCCACAGACAATGCTATGTGTGAAAACAGCATGTGGTCCTGGTTAAGACTTTGAAAAAGAGTGATGCAACAAACAAAGCATGGTCCATACCGGAGGACAAAAACGAGGAAGAACTGCCATGTGTTCATTGTCGAGGCAGAGATTTGTCTCATCTTTGGTCACCTTATTCGCAATTCTGCTATAAATGCAATGCCCAATTTTTTTATTTTTTATTTTTAAAATTTTCAGGTTTACTTTTCCTCTGGAGCTGTATATCTTCTTGGGGTAGCTTGCCGACGAACAATGAACAATAAAATAAAATAAAGGTCAGAAGCCTTTCTTTCATGTGTCTTCTCTATTGTCTATTGGTCTGCAAAATGGTAAATCTTATTGCTAAACCCCTTATTTGTATT